GGTGCACTGGAGTCATCTTCTTCTTCACTTTTTCTACTGACTTCAGTACTTTGCTATTTGAATCAGAGTCAGAATCAGTCTCGGAAGAACTTTCCTTTTGAGGAATTGGCTGTTTGCGACCGACAACGTCTTTAGAAACACATACAGCTTGACTTGCTAGTTTCATTGCTTTCTTTCCTGAAGGTCTCGATGCCTCCTCTGAATCTGTTTCTGAATCAGATGAAGACGATTTTTTCTTTAAATCAACTGGCTTCCATGGCTGAACTGGAGTCATCTTCTTGAGCTGGTCCGTCTTCTGCAGCAAACCCTTAGAGAGGTTGTTAACTTTTTCTACTGACTTCATTACTTTGCAATTTGAATCAGAGTCAGAGTCAGAATCAGTCTCGGAAGAAGTTTCTTTTTGAGGAATTGGCTGTTTGCGACCGACAACGCCTTTAGAAATACATACAGCCGAACTTGCTACATTAATTGCTTTCTTTCCTGAAGGTCTCAATGCCTCCTCTGAATCTGTTTCTGAATCAGATGAAGACGATTTTTTCTTTAAAGCAACTGACTTCGATGGCTGTACTGGAGTCATTTTCTTCAACTCGTCCGTCTTCTTCAGCAAACCCTTAGAGAGGTTAACTTTTTCTACCGACTCCAATGGTGTCGCTCGGTTCGCATGATATAGCAGACTATTAAACGACCCCAATGCTGATTTTGATTTTTTAATTCGTCTCACCGATTTTGAATCCAAATTAGGATCGTTTGCTGAAGAATCTTCTTGCTGATGTATTTTCTGCGTAATGCCTAAGGCGCTTTTCCTGTAAGACGTACCCTGACCTTCTGAATCTTTATGCTGCCGCTCTTGTGATTTCGATGGATTTTTATTGTCTAAATATGACACATTTGACACATCCTGCATGTCGCCCTTATTCTTATTAACATGGATCGGACTCGCCTTATTGGAATGGTGAAAAGACTGTTTAGTTTGCTTCGAGTTTTCATTTATCATTTGATCAGGTTTCACATCATTCGCTGAATAATCAGATATGCGGTTATCGGCTTTACTGGATTCATACGGTTTCTGCTCCATTCCTGAATTTGCACATAGATCAGTAGACAACTGTGGATCAGCAATAAACTTGTTTCTCTTTCTTTTTGCTTTAGAATAATTAAATGCTTCATCATTAAATGTCTTTACTCTTCCTTCTTTTACTCTATTCTTCCCTCTGTATATTTCGATATCATTAGTTGCTAATTTATCTCTTTTAAATACAACTTCTTCCGGATCAACATTATGTGAGAAATGCATTTGAACTATTGGATGCACTGAATTAATCTCATCTTGATCTTCAGAACTATCAATCCGCTGACTTAATGCTTCACAATTTGGCTTATTTAGCTTTGAAAATGCTTCATTCGATTCTGATGATTTCCTATTTTTATCTTCCTTTTTTCGTTTTCTATTTACCCTTATTCCTTTATCGACTTCTCCATCAGAATTCGACTCCAAGGTAGGAGACATTTCTCTATGTATATTGTTTGACTCCAAGGAGTGCCTCTTGTTTCTTTTCATCAGGAACTAAGAATAAGAAAAAAATTAATTATACTAGCATTTTATCAGTGTTGCCCTTATATACTATCGCACTAAATAACGTTTAAGGAATTCAAAGAAAACCTTTGTAAGAAAATAAATAAAACTTTATGACAGGCTTCATCGAAGGTAAGGGCCAACTAAGAGGTTCTTCGCGTTTAACAGACACAAAAGAACCTAAAGCAAGTGTACCTGTTAAATCAGCAAAAAATTTGTGGGATTTATTATAATAAGAAAAATAAACGTTTCAATTTGATAATTAAAGTTAAAATATCAAGTAATTAGAGAAAGGCTTAAGGGCACGAGTTGACATAGTATTACCACATTCCAATTCATCGAACTATGCAAACTCTAGAGCTCACTCTCGAACAATCCCCTAATAGATTGATGTTAAAGTACCTTGGACAATACTCTATTTTTAATTGTCCAGCATGGAGGCAGTGTCAGACCCAAAGTAGATTTAGGAAATAATGATAGTATTGGTAATTAAAGGTATTAATCGAAAGTTTAAAGACCAAGGTGGTGTGGTCTCTTGTATGGTCGCGGTCTCCTTTCGTTGCATACTGGCTGCTTGGACTTGTTTTCGCAACTTGAACATATTGGCAGGAAAGCCTAGAGTAATATCCAGAGTCGGACCGTGAAATTGGTATATCCTCAGAAGTTTCACCGGCATCGTCAATGAGCCTTGCCAATCCTAGCATCACACTACAACTCATCAGAGACAAATGAAGCCGATCCTTTGACCAATTATCTGTCAAAACAATTGAGATCTCTCCTTCTGTCCTGAAGTATTGACCTATTTTATATCCCCATACATCAACTCCTTAATTACTTATTTGAATGTGATGTTGTATGCTATTTTGAGCGTATTTCATGATACCTTTTCACACCAAACGCTGGCTTTCTCATTTTCAACCCCCCACTTTTTTGCTTGGAATGTTGATCAATGATCCTAGCCAGCAATTCTCTTCCTATAGGTCATATTAGTCTCACTCTTGCTCCATAGGATCCATCTTATATCTCCCTGGTTCAAGTATTCCAATTGACTACTGTCAG